GCCAGAGGTCGCGCCGGCGAAAGGTCACTCTTCTGTGTGTAGCTGGCCGTGGCAGGGCCAAGGAGGGAGCGAAGAGCACCCCGGGCTGTTCCGCAGGCGACGTGGGGGGTGGAGCGCGCGGGGGGGGGGGGCGGGACGCGTGGGGAACCGCGCGGGAGCGGTGCGGGGCGGGAGGGGGGGGGGAGGGTAGGGGAAGTGGACGCGGGGGGGAAGGAGAAGGGAGCGCGAGGGAGGGAACGCGGGGAGGAAGGGGGGAGGTGGGAGGGGAAGGGAAAGGGGAAGGAGGCGCGGGGGGGGGAAAGGTGAAGGGGAACGCGAGGCAGGGAGCGCCAGGAAGAGAGGGGGACGGCGGGACACGTGGGGAGGGCGGAACGGACCGTCCTTCGCGAGGAGCGCAGGGGCTCGCATCGCGGTGGGGGGTCGGTTTCGGCGCGCGGGAGAATCTGAACGGGCCGTAAGGCGTGGCGGTATGGGGGGGGTTCTCGAACAACGCGGAGTACCCACCACCTCGCCCACGGGGCGCATACCCTGACTCCTGGCACCTCGAGAAAGTCGCGCTGCTTATGTTTCTCGGCGTCGCAGGGCATTTCCTGGCAATGGTGCCATCGATGAACGAACGAAGGACCACAAGAACCGTGCACGGGATTGAGCGCGAGGTGGTCCAGCCCGTTACGCTGGAGACATCCTCGCAACTCTAGGCTCCGAGATGCCGGTCGGGATGAAGAGGAGGTCGAGGAGGAGGAGGAGGAGGAGGAGGAGGAGGAGAAGGAGAAGGAGATGGAAGGGGACCAGCGCACCGCCCCCCCTTGCCCCTCCCGCACGGCATCGTCCAGGCACTGTCCGGGCCGTGCTTTTGGCGGCAGGGCCTCTCCTGGCGTCTCCCTGGATCGGGAGAGGGCGCTCCGAGGAGCCCGCGAGCATCTCGGCGCGGCTCCGAAAAACGCACGGCAGGTTCCCAAGAGGGAGAGGGGTCAAATGCCTCCCAGAAACCGAAGATGATACTAGATGGCCCAAACATGACCCCAAGACGGCCCAAGACCGCCTCAAGACGGCCCCCTGCACCCCCGTGGGACCCAAGACCCTCCAACATGGAAAGCACATGGCGTCGCCAAACAAAAACACCCTGCCATCGCCAATCGTATCACCCACAGACACACACACACACACAATCGTTGCCCATCATATCCATAGGGCGTACGCGCGTGAGCACGCGCGCGCTGACGGCAATCGGCAGCGAGACCGACCACCAGTTGAACAGGGAGACGAACAGACACGGCAGAGGCCCTGGCGCGCTGAGCCGTCCACGTGGTGACTAGCACGGGAGGACGTCGACACCCATCCGAAGCTCGCTGCTTTCGTTTGGTACCTGCAGCGGAATACGAGCGCGGCACACCCGACTGGAGGTCTACGTGGGACCGTTGGACAGACACCCACCACCGTTCGGACAGATTCGCCTCTGCGGTCAAAGACCCTTGGTTGCTCGGCGCCGAGCAGCTACAGGCCCTCATCAGTGCCAACCATCCGCATGAGGAATTCTTGGACTTCAGAACAAACTCCACGGCGCGGGCACCCCCCCCCAGGCAACAGGAGAATCCCGCATCGCACCGACCTGGTCCAGGCTGGACGCAACCGTCGCCGGTCGCCTTGCACTCTCCACGATGGCCCCCCCCTGTCCTCATAGCCTCGGAGGCAGCCGGTCACTATGGATGGCTAACGCGACCGCGCGTGCCCTGCGGCTCTGAGACTTTCAAAGGCTGCACGGGCGCAACCCGAGAAGACTGCCAGGCGCGCACCACTCATGCATCCAAGGAGAGGCGCATCTGTTACGTTGCGGATCTCTTCTCTTCTGAACAATGGCTGCCAAAGCAGAGGACGCCCGTCTGCGGGGCCTGATTGGGCGGTAAAGGTACGCGCATTGATTGCCAGGGCCGGCGCTGGGCATGCCCTCCTCTTCATGCAAAATTTCCCCGGCGGCGCTTCGCAGCGCGTCACCGCCACGGAGGCAACGCACGTCAGGTGGAAACGGCTCTACGAGGCCACTCGGAGGACCCCGGCGAGACCACGCGTGGACCGCGGCACGGCATCGACGGCGGGGCGCAAGGGACGCCAGGCCATCAGGAGGACGCAGGGGCAGCGCGCGCCGCCGTGCGTCGTGTACAACACGGAGGAGGGCGAATGTCACTTCTGTCGCGGCCCACCTCACATTCGCCGATTTCCCCCACCCAAATTTTCGGCCGCCCATCATCTCCCAGAGGAGGGAGAGCGAAGCCGAAGTGACGTTCGAGGGCGACATTGCGCTGCAAACGGAAGCGCGAGCCACTGAGGCCACGACCTGCCCCCACCCATGCCCTGCAATGGGCTGCCTTGGCCCCTGATGCGCGTCGCTGCCGGCGGGGGCATTTCCGCGCCGTGCCCCGGCGTTCCCCGTTCTGCCCCCGTCTCCACGCGCCACTGCGTGTCCTCGCTCGAGCTCGCCTTATTGTTGCGCAATTGCGGCCGC